AGGCAATAATTTTCCTACTGTGTTTTCTTTGCTGTTCACGGCAGATTCTGACCCTGATAACCAGTTGGTCTCTATGCTTCCAATATGTCTCCTCCTCCTTCTTTTTTCCTCTTTGACAAAAATGAGGTTTGAACTCAGGAGTTTGTGCGTATTAGTCAAGTGGTCTGTTACATAAGCAATGCACCCAGTCCTCTTTTGCTCTGACTGTTTTTGTGGTAGGGGCTCACTGTTTGCTCAGGTCAGCCTGGACCTTGATCCTCCTATTTACACTTCCTGTTTTATGATACCTGGGTGAAAGGTGCATGCCACTGCTGTCTAGCTATTGCTTGTGAAGAGGTCTTGTAATCTTTTTACCTAGTCTGGCCTTGAACCACAATTCTCCCATTCTCTGCCTCTCAGTTACAATTACAGGTATGAGCCACTGGCATCTGGCCCAATTTGACTATTCTTGAAGATAAGAATTTAGTCTTTCTCAATTTTGTCTGTCACAGAAGCTTTGAGAATACAGGCTATAATAGTTAAAATGTTGTTGAAAGTATGAAGATTTGATGAACAACTTTTATATATATATATATATATATATACTAGCTCACACACACATACACATATATAATTGAACTTACTAGAGGATCTTGAAACTTAAGTAAATACTATATAGGGTGAATCTTATAGAAATAAGTATCTTTAAGAGACTACCTAAAAACAATTGTTTTGCCCAGCACCAGTGGCTCACATTTGTAATCCTAGCTGCTCAGGAGGTTGAGATCTGAGGATCACAGTTCAAAGCCAGCTGGGGCAAGAAAGTCCCTGAGACACACTATCTCCAATTAACTACCAAATAGCAGAAGTAGAACTGGAACTCAAGTAGTAGAGCATTAGCCTTGAGCAAAATAATGCCCAGGCCCCAAGTTCATGGCCTAGAACTCTCTCTCTCTCTCTGTCACACACACACACACACACACACACCCCAGAGCAGAACAGATCCCAGGTGTCTTACACAATGCAGTTGATTGTAACTGTTTTCATAAATCTGGTATATCCTCTCCAGATGGTGGTAACAGTGGCCCTCTGGTGGCCCTGAAGGTTAGAGTATCACGGTGGGGCTCAGGCAATCCACCTTGTGGCCCAGGAGGAGCAGAACATACAAGTTTGGAGTCAGAAGAAAACAATGGCAGAAGACAAATATTGTAAGCTGTAATGGTATTATGAACTTGGTGGCAGCTTGGCCTTTCTTGCTATCGTTAATCTGACAAAAATTCTAAATGAGTAAACCATAGGGAATCATAAGATGAAGTGTATGATCTCTTTATGTTCAGCACTCACCTTGTGGTTACACTGGTATACAAATATGTTGCTGCACAATCATAGCAATCATGGTGAAAGTCCTGGAAAACATCAATCATCACAGCATACTAGTGATAAATATCCACGAAATCACCATGTAGACTACCACATCTGTCCATTGATCCAATACCACTGTGACCTGCTTTTTAAATTTCAACTGCTGTGCAGTATGTCAGCTAGAACAGTGGCTCATGTTCAGAAGCCTGGGCTATTGCAGATCTTGTTGTATCCTTAGAGTTGGGGATATGGCTCAAGGTAGAGCTTCTGCCTGGTAAGTGTGAGGCCCTGAGTTCAAACACAGAACTGAAAAATAACCCACCCAAAGCAAATATTTTGACATTGTGTGTGTGTGTGCACGCGTGGGCCTAGGTATGGTCCTAGAATTCTTTGGCTCAAGGCTAGAGTATTATTTGAGCTACAGCTTCACTTCCAGCTTTTTGTGGTTAGTTGGAGATAAGAGTCTTACAGACTTTTCCTGCCCAAACTGGCTTTGAACCATGATCCTCAGATCTCAGCCTCTTGATAGCTAGGACTGCAGGCACAAGCCATTGGTGCCCAGGTTGACTTTTATTTATAAGAGTTCTTTGTTGCAAATTAAAGCAAAATGGTTTATCAGTATGCCTATTTGTAATCTACCTGTCTTTCTCCCTGTGTATATCTTCATTCATTTACCCATGTCTCTTTCCATGCATCATCTATGTATGTATCTATATATTTGTACAATGTGCATCCATCATTTATCTGTCTATCCACCCGTCTAGTCATCTTTCTCTGGTCTCTGCCCAGTGGAAAGTAGGAACTCAGAGTTTGTGGAATGAATAATGTAGGAGCTTTTACTTTATAGTGTCATTCAAAAGAGTTGTATCTCCTTATTGATGAGTATGTTTTGATATTAGTTGTTGTCACCATTATTTCTGCTCTTGATGATTATTTACATTATTGAATGAAATGTAAATCCCACTAAATATATCAAGGGGTCTTGCTTTTTAGAAGAAACCAAGATGAAATCCTTGGGGAGCAGCAGTTGAAAATCTGCTCTTCCTAAATGGAAAATTCATATTTGCAGAAAACACCTTTGTGTATATTCTCACTGTGTGTAAGTGGGGAGGACAGACAAGAGACAAAAGGGAGAGACACAGAGTCAAGAGAGATGAGAGACACAGAGATAGAGGAGAGAAACAGAGGAGAGGGACAGAAAGAGGGAAGAGAGAGACAGAGAGGAGAAAGGAGAGAGACAAAGACAGAAAGAGAGTGAAAGAAAAGCCACAGAGGAGAGAGGAGAGGAAGAGAGGAAGAAACAGGGGAGAGAGGTCCAGCTGCCTCCTTCCAGAATGTTAGGTGAGGTCCATGCATTAGAGAGGTCCTGAATCCCATAGTCTAAGCGACACTCCTGTGCTTTAAGGTAACTTCCCCAAATGCAAACGCTATGGGCTTCTAAAAGGAACCACCAATAAATGTATCACAGCCTGGTGGTTCAATAAGTAAGGGAATTTATTACAAGACTAGGAGGTATGATTATATTCTTGAAGACAGATTTAAAAATGAAAACAGGGCTTAGGAGAAATAGAATTTTATATCACAACATTTGAAATATAAATTTAAAAAACTAGTTTGATTGCCATAATTTATAAGTATTTATTTCATTCCCTTTTGATTCAAGTGACTTTAACATTTCAGAAGTGTGTTCACCAGTTACACTGGGAAGGCCTCCCGGGGACAGCACTGAGGTTGTAGGGCACCTGGAGAACACCTGCTCCGGGAGCTCAGCGCTTGCTGGCATGAGGCAGCGGGGCCCCTGGCACACCTGTGCCCATGGCCAGCTCCTGGGTGTCAGTCTGCCCCTCTCCTTGGCAGGCCTTGCTTCCTTCTCACTTTCCCTCTCCTGGTGCTTCCTGGATCACCTCTCAAATAAACTGGGGTCTATCCCTAGAGAAAGTCTCCATGTGACCTGGAGCTGGCCCACACCAGATGCTTGTCCCACAGCAGAATCAGGACTGAAAGGGGTCGGCCTTCTGCCCCCTCTGGGTGTTGCAAGGTGGGTGTTGTCAAGTCCCAGTGTGGGACTTCATCTCTGTATTTCAATACGGATCCAAGTTGCAATTGTTCAGATGGAGTTAAAGGAAAAGGGAGGGAGGATGGCTTTAGAGCAGTAGGAAGGTGGAATGAGATGGACTACCTCTGAGGGAAAGTGCACGTGTGCCCCTCCCCCCTTGACAGGGAATTGATACTATTAGGACATGACGTTCCTGTTTAGTGGGATGAAAACGCACACAGGGAGGTAGTGTCCTTGGGCCATGGGTCGTGTGCAGGTGATGGAGAGGAGGTGTGGCTGAGGTAAGAGGAGTCAAGGGTCAAGTGCTTTGGCAAACACAGACCACTGCTCCCTATAGGGGACAGAAGCTCTACTTCATGCCTTTTTGTTCGCCATCACCATCTGTTCCCCAAAGCCAAAGAATGCTCCTGTGTGGATGAGTCTTCCTTAAGTGAGGCAGAACAGACAGAAGGCTGTAAATATTGTATACTTTCTAGGACCATTTTCTTTCAGAATATTAAGAATTCACATCGGCATCTGACAATAGCTCATGGGAAAAATGCTTTGCTTGGAAGAAGATAGAAGAGCTTGAATAAATGATTATTCCTTATATTGGAAGCATCTTTCAGGATGTACAGTTCTGGAGACGGGGGTCGACCTAGGTCATGTGGATGGGTCCTGTGGAAGAGGTGGGGGCCTGTGAGCAGAAGACCCTGCCCTAGAATGAGGGAGGTAGAGGGGACAGTAAGGCAGCCACAGCCAAGAGCTCCCCTCCCTAGAGCCTCCTGTGGGAGGGTGGCCCTCGGACTTCTGGCCTCCACACTGTGAAAGTAAGGTCCTATTATCTCAGCCAGGCTACGGACATTTCTTTGGGTAGTTGTAGATTAAAGTAGACCCGGCTCTAGTCCTATGAAGACTTGTTTTCTGACAACCAGACAGGGCGTGAAATGCGGAGTCAGCCATTATTCTAATCATCAGGCAGGTCGGGAGATGTCACCTGAGTCACTGGTCTGGCCCAGAGGTCTGAGACAAGCTGCATACGAGACAACAGGCAAGCTGCAGAGATAGGACTCTCCAAGCCACACTTCCAGAGTCTTGCTTGTGGCTTATGTTCTACCACCTGAGCACTTCAACGTTTTGATGATTAACAAGATGGAGATGGATTTTTTTGCCTGGGCTGACTTCAAACTGTGATGCTGATACGAGCTTCCTGAGCACCTGGGATTATAGACAAGAGCCTCCGGTGCCTGGCTATGTGACCACATTAAAAAAAGCCTCACACATTTAAATGAATCTCACATAGTTCCAGTTTTTGTTTTTGCAGTGTAAATCTCAAACTCTGAGGGACTGGGAATGTTCCAACCCCTAACACTAACCAGCCATGTGATGGTGAGGTTTGCGAATGCTAAGGTCCTGCACAAGCTGAGTCGTGGAAGGGGACGTGCGACAGAGAAGGATCCCAAAAGTGTGTACAGTGTATATGGTTCCCAGGAGGTATTTATCATATAGTTCACTGTGTTTGTCTCAAGTCAGACTCTAAAGTATGTGGAAGATGCTTCTGATACCATTTTGATAGTTTTAATTTCTTTCTGTGGGATTTACGAAATTATACAATATTAAAGCATAAAATACTGAAATCTTTTATTTACATTGCATAAAATTTTCAGTAAAAAATTCACATCATGAAAGTAGAATAGAAATACTGTCATGATTGACAAAGAAAAAATGCAAAATACACTGTTTCATGATTTCTCACAAGAAAATCTCTAATTTGGTTTGCCTAAACACATCAAATATCTTCTCCATTTGCTTTTTGAGCAATGTTCTCGCTTCTGTGAGCTGATTCTGGAAGAGGGTTGTGAACATAGTTGTGCTTCTGCACTCTCCACATCCTTCAGAAAACAGCATCCTTGCTCGATCCTTTTAACTGTCTTGAGACCGATTATCTTCAATGACAATTGTTCTTCTAGGAAAGGATTCTGTTTCCACAAATATATATCGGAATTCGTATTTGCCATTCTCTGGGTTCTAAGGAGAAATGTATTTCCAAGTGTTAGTTCCGTCGGTGGAGCTTAAACAGCACTGCTCCAAACCACTACCCCCACCCCCCCATGATCCTCACACCTCTTTGACTTCCACGTGCACTGTTCCTTGCTTCCCTGGCTCGGACCCCTCAATGTAGAACTTCAAACGCATGTGTTTCAGCCCATCTTTAACATATTCAATGAAACTGCGGAGAAAGTGAAACCATACGGGCATAAGTTCCTTTCATTTAAAAACAATTTACGGGCTTCCCAACTCCAAGGGGACGGTGGTACCTGACATGCTGCCTCCGTCCACGTCTCGACATTTCCCCGTAGCCTTTCAAAGGTTTACCGAAAATACTGATCACCTGCGGTCGAGACAATGCTTCCTTAGTGTCACTTGTTAAATGAGTCCTAGGGAATTATTTTCTGACAGTGAAAAAAAACCAGTGAGGCTAAGGCTCTTTAAAAGATGGTGACTCCAAGAATAAGAAAACGACCAAAAAGGCTAGGCATGGAGCATCCTGTAAGTCATGCACAGAAATGGTTATCTTAGGGTGGCATCTGTCGTTTCAAAACAACAGAACTACAGGTTTCTTTTCACAGCTAGGTTGTCTTGTTACCGCTCCGGATGTCTTCATTATCAAGAGTTCCCAGGCATAAATGAAAAGGAATAATATGCAAGATATTTGACAGACATCGGTGCGGTGAAACAAGCGGAGCAATTGTCTAAATAAGCGACTTTAATAAATGGTTAAACAGCATCAGACACTAGGATTTCTATTTTTCAAGCATGCCCACCACTTGGTAGAGTGGCTCTTAAAATATACCGGCAAAACTAAATGGTTAGAGGTCGACATCCATCGAGGTCCCTTAGGCAGTAGATTAAGTGATGATCTTATTAATATCTCACTTTTCATGTTTAGTCTGTGGAGTTCTGTTCTCAATGCTGGAAACTCTGAGACTGAGTTTGTTCAGCACACTGGATCACCTCAGAGATTCATCTAGGTATCCAATGAGGCTCCAGGTACTTCCTATTCCTACTTATTTCTGCAGAAGGGAAAGAGCCAAGCTTTTCCTTCTTTCCATTTTAATTGGCTCTTATCAAGTTATACAGGAGGGGATAGTCTATTTTGGCAGTACTCAATCTTCTTCATCCTCCTCCCAGGTACAACCCTCTTTCCATCTCCCCACCCACCCAGAGTCTACTTCTCTTCCCTCCCATCCCATTGGTTATCAGCTTTTGTTCCTTTTCTCTGGGCTGCTCTCACACCTGTTTATTAGTTATTCACCCTGAAAGAACATTTCTTGTCAGATATAATTTAGAGTCCCATTAACTTCCTTAGTTCCAGCCACACTTTCAACTTTTTTTCACACGTGTCTCCCTCCCTCCCTTCCTCTAGGTGTTCCCATAGGCTTTCCAATCAAGAGAAATCTGTACATTATTCTTGTTATCAGTAAATAAAATTGGCAGCATTTACTGGCAGCCCAATTACACACAGAAACCAGCATCTTCCATGTCAAATACAGTTGATTTTCATCACCTTGTCAAAGTCAAAGGCTCATTCCCTAAGCAGCTTCATTCCATCACTCAGGGGTGATCTGTGGGCTCTCCTCTTTCCCTGCCCAGGGACCACAGACTCTCTCTCCTTTGACTTCACTGCTTGGTGAGGAGCAGCCTGGATTTTTGTGATGCTGTCTCCTGCGAGTTTTCAGGGCACTGGGATTAGGATTTCAGTGCGGACCATTTTTCCATGCGGAAGCTCTTCACTCAAGAAATTTGGCATGTCACCCGGAGCAAGCCACATGGGCTATGGACCGCCTTCTTTTAGGCAGGCTTGTTCAGAGAAGAGACAGCTTGTCCCCACATCTGCACTTCTAGGGAGTAGCTGAGGTGGGCTATGCTCAGGAAGGTAAGATCTGGTATCAGACAGAGTTGGTCTCAGGTCTGGCTCTCCCATTTACCATCTCAGAGACGATGGCTGTGTTAGTGAATAGTGCAATTATAGGAGATGCAAAGGGTTTTTATAAGATTTAGCAGGATAATGCACTGTAAATCCTGGCACATGATATACTGGTAAGTGCCAACAATTATTGTTATGATCACGGATCACAAATCTTGATTTTAAAAAGACTATAAATTCATCACTTGAGTTTGCTACTTCAGTGTATTTTAAGCATTTAATATCTATGAACAACCAGTAAAGTATCTCACTTGTGCAGTTAGGATAAATATATCCTAACTGGGTGTCATCAACATGTTTCAAGTACAAAAAAGGCCTTGTACCATAAAACCAACACCACCAATGTATTACTATATATTTTTACTGGTTTCTCAGCTGGAATTTGAATTTTTACTCTCATATGTCTGTATGTGCAGATCCTGGGGCTTGAACTCAGGCCCAACTACTGTCCCTGAACTTTTCTGCTGAAGGCTAGTGCTCTACTACTTGAGCCACACTTCCACTTAAAGCATTCTTGCTGGCTTCAAATCACAATCCTCAGACTGCAGCCTCCTGGGTAGCTAGGCACCAGGTTGCAATTTGAGTTTGGCCCACTTTTTCCTCCCCAATATGTTCTCCCTCTCATCAAAGAACTAACCTCAGGATGTATTCTGCATTTTTCTAAGGCTTTCCCATATATCTTATTAGGACTGGATGAAGAAAAAAGTTCTTTGAAAATCGTGTATAACAAGCTACCTGAAATCACAGAAAAAGAAGATGAACCAAGGCAACAGCAAGATGAAAAGGTATGTTAAAAGTTATTTGGGAGTGTGGTACTTGCTGTGTTTTTCAACCTGTAATGCTGATTCCAATGAGCACCACTATTAAGTAGGTGAAATCTCTCCCAGCTTCTCTCACTGCAAAGAGAAAATGGCACTAAATTACCTGTGTGCCCACTGTAACCCGATTCACCCAGGGCTTCAGCATTTCTAGTGCGTGACACGGAGTTAAGAGTCCAAGTGAGTGGTTCTGTTATGTTCTCAGTAGTTGTTCTCCAATGTCCTGGGCCATAAAACTTTATGGGCGCCTTGGAGCAGGGCTTAGAACTCTCTCATCCAAGTGCTAACCAGGACCATCCTCACTTAGCCTTCAAAATCAGATGAGAGTGGCAGGCTTAGGGTGGTATGGATAGGGTCTAGGAATCTCTGCTTTTCTTTTAAATGTTATAATTGGAATACTATTTATTTTCTAGGAGGTAATTCTCTTAAGTCCCTCAGAATGACTTCCACAGGTTTGCCTCACACAGATTAAGCCTGGCTTTGTCAACTAAAGCCAAGAGACCAGAGAACAAAATGGATATTAACTCTTAGTTGTTAGCAGTCCTCCCAAATGCCATTTCACCATGTTCCCTCATTGACTACATAAAATACAATGTGGAATGGAATTTTCCTGTTAGAAAGCTTTACAAATTAAACTCAGAAAATGAAGAATCTACAAAGATAATGCTCTTTACATATTTTTTCCAACACTAATAAAAGATGTGTGATCCTGGCATGGTGCACAGCCTTGTAATCTCAGCACTTGGAAAGCACGAGGATTACTGTGAATTCGAGGCCAATTTGGACTACAAAGCAAGACCTGTTTCAACCACTGTTTCCAAGTACGTTGATATATAGGTTAAAGAGAAGTCCTGGGGTGGGGATGGGGTGTAAAGAAATGTAGCTGTTATGTACCTATTATATAGACATTTTCACTTATATATGAAAGACTACTACACTGAAATTATAACTATACTTTTCTACTGATATTAAGGGTCTTTTATGTTATTATACAGACTAATTTATTCATTACATCCGAAACTCAGACTTATGTATATCTTTTTTTCATTAAGCAAAATTTTAACAGTTGTTTTTATTATCTCTACTTTTACCTTTTATATGTAAGCTTCTACTACTTTTATGAGATAGTACTTATAGTACTCTTTAGCATAACACAATCCAACTTTTCATTAAAAGTTAAAAGATATGATTATCTGCATCTCCTAAAACATGTGTAACTCATGGGACCAATCCAGACAATAACTGCCATCACAAATATAATTTGTACCAGGTACACAAGTTGATAGGCCTACAATGACAACATCTCATTGTTGTCCATTAATGTCATGAATTATACTTAAATACTAGCTTCCAGCTGTGTGCCAAGTCCTAAGTTAAAAGTATAGTAACAACTGCCCCAACAAGTAGCCATATTTGTGCCTATTACACAAATTAGGCTCACATACTCTGGATTCCTAATTAACCCTCCTAACATTCCTGTGTGTCTACAGTATCTCTAGGCCTATGCTAAATACTACTCATTAAAAAGACTTCTGTTTAGTATTATTTTATAGATGTCTCCAGTGAAAACTGCTCATCGTCTACTTCACTCTTCTGAGTTCTCAGTCCTAATATGTTTATCCACAAGACCTCTTGCTATTCTACAGTTCTCTAATCTTCATGCTGTGGTGGGGGTACTGCCACTGCGAGAACACTGGTGGCTGGCAGTCTTCAGTCAAGTTCCTTTCTGAGCATTCTTTCTTCTGAAGAGTCTCCTAGGACAGTTCTTTCCTGCACCTGCCTGAGGCCTCTTTTGCCATGTACTTGAGCTGCATCCTGGGCCAGGTCTTGCTTGCTTCCCTGACCCTTACTGAGAGCACTCCCTAACACTCCCCTGTTAAACAAAGCTCTTGAATCTGCTTCCTTGGAAGCATACCTACAGCAAGGGCTACCAAGAGTGCTCCTAGAAAGCCATCTCAGATTAAGATTTGGGGACTGGAACAATAGTCACCCACTGGCCATGAGGACCCTGTCCTTGGTTGTAGGTGGAGGATTCTGTTGGTAGTGTTAACTGTTGCAGCTCTCACCCATGAAGATGAACATACTTCTGGCTTTCTCTGACAAAATTATGCTTCATGGTCCTTGTTTCATGTGTTCTTCCTATCACTGCACCCAAGTGTGTGTGATGGCAAGAGACGTTCTCAATTCAGTTCCTATGGAGTTTAACTCAGTATGTGGGAAGTTATTAAGTAAAATATGTATTGAGCTGAGGAACAAAACACTTTCGCGGCTGATTACGATTTAATCATACCTGTCTGTTCTACTTATCCTATCCACTTCTAATATGCCTCAGACTAAGGCTGAGAAAAATTTCCTAGACAGAAATGCGACGAAGTGATACCAAATTCAAGCTTTTAAGTGCGTTTCAGTCGGTGAACTAGCTCTGTGTTCTGCGTTTCTAAGTCAGTCGTGCCCCATGGGCTCTACCTCGTGATCTGCGTGAACTTCCTTGGCAGTTGGTTGTGAGCTTGGCACCCGGGCGCTGGCCGCGCGGGTCAGCGCGGCTGGGGCCTGGTCTCTGCGGAAGGCCTCCGGTTACCTTTCTGGGACGGTGACACGGCGGGTTCCAGTCTCTCACTTCGGAGCACCGGCACCGGCTTGCCGCCGTCGTCCTTGGCGTTCCGGGGCCCGTGGGCCTGCGACCAGATGTTTTTCGGGGCGACCGTGAGGACGGCCTTGGGGGGCGCCGTCCTCCTCGGCCCCGGCGGCCGCCACCGCGCGCTGGGCTCGGCCCCCGGGCAGGCTCTGCCGGGCACGCACGCCGACCGCAGCAGCCGCCTCCCCGACGCCGCCGTCTCCGCAGCCCGCAGCAGGACGCGGATCATGTTTCTAGAAAAGTCCCGCTCGGGGACGGGGCCCAGACACCGTGCGTGCACACACTCAGCCGGGCACGAGCCCACATCCACACACTCACATTGCAAGGCGTGGCAGGGAGAGCTACGTCGAACGAGGACTTCTAATCGACGCCCTCGGGCCCATTTTCCTGGCGAATTTGCGGACCTTCAGACCACCCCCGCCATACCTCCGCAAGGCACCCTGGGAAACACGTAGGCGTCCCGGGAACCGCAGTTGGACCACTTCACCCTCAACCACGTCGGCGCAGAGAGAAAAGTAGAAGGGACTACATCTCCCACAATGCCCGGCGACGAGCGCCGCGGGCCGCTCAGAGCTTCCCAGGCATCTTTGCGCGCGGAGCGGTGCGCACGCGCCGCACGTACATCCGGCCGGGGAGCGGCCTGCTGCTGCAGGAGCTCGCGGAGGCGGCAGCGCGGCCGTGGCTGCGGGTCCTCGCGACCTTCTGGCGTGGACTTTGCCAATAGAGAACGTCCGCCGTCTTGTCATGGCCCTGCCAGACGGCAAATGAGTTTCTGCCTTCCTTGAGTGGAGACGCCTGGGGCCTCCACAGAACCGGCCGGGGTGTAGTAAACAAGGAAGGGCGGGCCCGCTGCCGAGCGTGCCGAGCGTCAGGACGGCGGGGGCTGGGAGCAGCCGGCTCCGGAAATGCCTCGGGCTCCCCTCCAAGAGCGAGGACCCGGGCCGGGGCGGCCGGGGCGGCCGACGCCTCCGGGACGCCGGCGGCTCGTCCGCGCATGCGCGCGGCGGCTCACGCAGGGGCCGGGGCGCCCCGCCTCGGAGCTGCGCGGCCGCCGGGTACCGCCGGGTCTCCATGGCGACTGGACGCGGTCGGATGCTGCAGCCGCGCTGGCTGGGCCTCCTGGCGCTGCGCGGGCCCATCCCAAGTGGCAGTGAGGCCTGGGTCGGCGCAGGGGCAGCCCCCGGGTGCCCCTGGGCCTCCGGGTTTAGGTGAGGGCCGGGGCTCCCGGGTGGGTCGCCCCTCCCGCCGCCTCCTCGCCGCTCCTTCGGGAGTATCTTTAGTTTTCGTTGGTTCTGCTCTGGCCCGGAACTAGGTTATGTTTGCTTCTTCCTGAAGCGCGGGAAAGTGTCGGAAGTGTGTCAGTAGAACATCCCTCCATTGTGGGTACACTGGTATCCCAAGTTTTGACACACTCTCAAGGAGATAACCTTTTGGCACTTCATCCATCAGTTGGTCCGGTGGGAAGACAGATGCTGTCCACCAGCCCGCCTGTGTGGGCCAAGGCGTTCTGCTTGGATGTGTTCCCAAAGGTCACTAAGGCTTGGATCCTTTGTGTTCTTGTTCTAGAATCGGGAAGAACCTTTTGTCTTTTTTTTTTTTTTTTTTTAAACTTAGACTCTACCCATTAAAATACCTTAACTCTCCTCCCTCCCTCCCACCCCCCCAAAGTAAGACAAGCCTGCCCCTTAAGTGGAGGTCCTGGCATGCTGCCATGGGTCCTGTCTTCCCCACCAATACTTTCTACAAAACCTGTGACCAAGGCCAAGTTGCTTTCTAAACAGTCACACTTAGTGCTCAACCCAGTGCTTTGCTATCTCCCTAAGTACCTGCAGAATGAGAACATACTGGCTTAGAGGCGCCTGTCTTTTCCATTTCTCATGACTGCGGGCGTCTTAAGGGTGATCCTCTCTTATTTCACCAGCAGTTTACCAGTGGAAGGATAATCCTAAGAATTTGCATTCTTAAAGATTCTTTTTGCTTTTAACGTTTTTTGATCAGTAGATGCAAAAAGTCGTTAGTAGTTTGCTTTATTAAATGCATCTTTGTGTATGCATAAAATAGGATATAAAGTATTACTTTACCAACCTAAGTCCCTCTGTTTCCAATCTCTAGGATGATGTCCTCCTATGTCTCCATTACTCTTAACTTTACCACAGTTTCAGAAGCCCAGTCCTATTCTTAGTGCCAGTATAATAGTTCTTGGCTATATAATATTGAATTAACCACAAAGCTTGTGACAAATAAAATGGCATCAGTGCTTTCAGAAATCTTATTATGTAGGGGCTGGGAAGGTGGCTCAGTGGTAGAGTGCTTGCCTCGCATGCATGAGGCCCTGAGTTCAATTCCTCAGCACCACATAAGCAGAAAAAGCTGAAAGTGGCTCTGTGGCTCAAATGGTAGAGTGCTAGCCCTGAGTTGAAAAGCTCAGGGACAGCGCCAAGGCCCAGAATTCAGGCCCCACAACCAACAACAACAACAACAACAAAAATCCTATTATGTAGAAGAGGAAGATTTGAGTTTGCCCCTACTACTTGTGTTTATGTAGTGCCCTGATAGGGGAAACCAAATGATTTTAATATGTTGAGTCCTTTATGTCTATAAATTGTGTGAACTTCCTGGTGGAATTATTAAGTCCTCCCTGTCATTATGTCACTAGACATAATGTCATTAGACATGATGAGCCTGCATTTCATCTTGTGAGGTGTGCATGTAAAGGTTCTTCCTGGTATAGCAAAGGCAGTTTTTTAAGTAAGTGGTAATTTTTAACATCTCATTATGAAAACATAGGTTAATAAGATACCAGTGATCCTCTTTTTAATTTTTTTGTTCCAGCCCTAAGGCTTGAACTCAGGACCTGGGTGCTATCTCTTGAGCTCTTTGTTGCTCAAGGCTAGCCCTCTACCACTTGAACCACAGCTTTGCTTCTATCAGTTATCCTTTATAACACAAAATATGTGAATGAACATCACAAACTCAGAGCAGAATGAATATCAAGAATGAATATCTCTTGAGCTCTTTGTTGCTCAAGGCTAGCCCTCTACCACTTGAACCACAGCTTTGCTTCTATCAGTTATCCTTTATAACACAAAATATGTGAATGAACATCACAAACTCAAGCAGAATGAATATCAAGTTGGGTTACTTTATATCATCTAATTGATTTAATAGGTACTAAGAGGCATACAAATAAGATTTTTAAAAATACTGACTCTTACTTCCAGTGAACTACCAGAAAACTGGAAGTGGTACTGTGGCTCTAGTGGTAGAGTACTGACTGGCCTTGAGCTGAAGAGCTCAGGGGTAGCACCTAGGCCCAGAGTTCAAGCTCCATGACTGACCAAAAAAAAAAAGTTTCTGAACATTTTCAAATTTAGACAAATTTGCATAAGGAAGGCATGCAGTTTATTCATTTGTTAGTTATATAGCCCATTACAATGTGAAATTAGTTTTAGGGAAAAATGGACTTGTATTTTCAGTAGTGCCAAAAATCAAATTGATATGACATAAATGTAATATGTTTACAAAGAGCTCTGTCAGGCACGTGCAGCCTCTGCCCAACTTGGTACTGTAAGTTTCCTTCCCTTACCCCCTCTCCCCCTTTTGACTCAGGATCTGGGCCCTGTCCTTGAGCTTTTTTGCCCCAGGCTAGCTCTCTGCCACTTGAGCTACAGCTCCACTTCTGGGCTTTTTTTTGGGGGGGGGGCAGTTAATTGGTGGAAAGAGTCATGGATTTTCCTGCCTGGGCTGGCTCTGAACTGTGATCCTTAGGTCTCCCAGCCTCCTGAGTAGCTAGGTGAGAGTCACCTGCGCCGGCCAGAGTTTCTGGAACGTTCTAGTTGAGCCTTGGTCTTCTAAACTGTGAAATGAGGGATTATAGTTGTTTCAAGCGTAGCAAGGCAAAACAGCGCAAAGCCCGCGCTCACACTTCCGGTCAAGGAAAGGAAGAGGCAGTGCGTGTTGAGGGCTTACTACCCTGCAAGCGGGACAGTCCACCATGAAAGGGGGCACAGGGGTTTTATTGGTCGGCGAGGCGCCTGCCCTTCCCGCGGCGACCGCCAGGGCCGGGCCTCCCCCTTTCCTCCTCCCCGCCGGCCTCCCCGCCGGCCTCTCCGCCGGCCTGGGCCTCTCTTCCGGCCGGCTGGGTCTCCCCCAGCACCGCTCGCTCCACTGCTCCGCTCTGGGAGCCCAGTTCCTCTCCTGGGGTCTCTCCTCTTTTTCGTCGCTCCGCCCCGGAACTCCCGCCCCTCCACATCCGGCGTCCGCCCTCCCCCTCGAACGCCCGCCCCGCCAGCCGGCGGGCAGGGGTGAAGCGCGGCGGAGATGTCAGCCGGGGGCGGGGGCTCCGGGGCTGGTGCTCGCGGCCCAGGGTATGCCGTTCGCACGTGTTTGTCCAGTTGAACCGGATCAGTGTTGTGGAAGCACTGTCTGCATTTGCTGCTGGGTTAGGGAAGAGCCTTTGCGTTTAGAAATAATCAGGACCAAACAGGCCTTCCTTGGGACTCGTTTAAAACCGTGTTTGGAATCTAGCTCCCTCGCATTCGTAGCTACCTGGAGTCTGACATTGGGAGGTCTGTGTTTTGAACCCGGTCTGGGTGAAAGAGTGTGAAAGACCCATTCTCAACTGAGAGAGAGGCGTGGTGGCTGCATCTGTTATCCCAGCTACCACCACAGGAGGCCTCGAACTTGTGGATTGCAGTCCACATGCTGCCTGGTCAGGAGCAAGAGCTTATTTAAAAAATAACCAGGGTGGAAAAGGGCTGGAGGTGTACAGTGGAAAGAAGCCTTTCCTGCGTCTGCTTAGAAGCACATGGGAATGCTGAACATGGCTCAGAGGCTGCTGGATGCTTTGGGTGTTTACAGCAGATGTATCTCTTGGTATCATCTTGGCTATAGGCTTCCAACTATTTACTCAGCTGCTTAATTAGCTGAAGCTCGGGGTGAGGGACCTTCTCAATTGTGCTTCCAATAGCAGTGGATGCTTGGAGTTGAGGATCATCTTCTGTTAGTACGTTTGGTGGATTTCATGGTTCAGCTTCCAGAGGGCTAATCAGCTTCCCTTTGAAGTTCTTGGGACACCTTTTTGCTCCTAGTAGTTCAGATATTTCTGGGAAGTCAGCTTAGTACAAAAAACTCTTGGTGAGCAAACTGCATATTCAAAACAATGGTGTTGGTGGGTGGAGCCCATTGGGAAATGTATACTTTAGATTTTAGTTGCTCCTTAAATAGCATGTTGAGTGGGAGGTGATCAATTACTGATAAGTGTTTTTGTAAATTCTTCAAGAAGCAACTTCCAGACTTCTTGGAGAAGTAGCATACTGATTGCTGCCTGGAAATGGATATGGCCTAGAATAGGGGGCTTTGGGCTGTCACTCTGTGTTTCAGATATCTTTCAAACTGCTAGTGAACATCACTGGTTTTATTTTTTATTTTTATTTTTTTTTGGGTCCGGTCGTGGGGCCTGAACTCTGGGCCTGGGCGCTGTCCCTCAGCTCTTCAGCTCAAGGCTAGCGCTCTACCACTTGAGCCACAACGCCACTTCCGGCTTTTTTCTTTTTGCTTATGTGGTGCTGAGGAATCGAACCCAGGGCCTCAGGCATGCAAGGCAAGCGCTCTACCACTGAGCCACCTTCCCAGCCCCACATCACTGGTTTTACAGATTGAACTTCAGAAGAATTTAGGAACTCTTGAAAAGAACTAAAAATTGTACATATTTCATAAAATCTAAAAGGCCATTAATTTTAAGATACACTATTTTGTGCATTACTAAAACTAAAAAGATGGCCAATTAAAATATATTTCATTCACTGCGCAATGTTAAGGTGTGAGAAATCTTGTGGATACTGTGCTCTTTGTACTGTGGTGGTATAGAATATCATCTACATGCTAAGCCACAATTATACTGGTCAGCCAATGCATTATAAAATCCTTCTTTTCGTTTCCTTTAAGTACATTCTGTAGCACCTCTTTGACATGTTGACTGCTTATGAGGGCAAATATTAAATCAATCAGAGTAAATTCAGGCTTTAAGTATATTTACTCAATGACACATAGCCTCTTTCTTTATTTTTCCTCCCATCTTTTCCTTCTTTCCCTCTCTCATCCCTTGCTTTTGTCTCAGAAATGAAGTTTTAGCAAGTAAGCTTTGGCATTTATGATCTTTCAAGTAATTTTGTAGAGGGAAACAGATAATTCATTTGGAAATTACATTTGGATTTTCCCACTTTTTCTTTCAGAATGGGGCCAGGTATCAGATTTGCAGCCAACTATACTACTGTGAGACAATATGCCAGATGTGGCCAGCACTATGAGAAATCCTCCTGTAATTATTTTGTGTCCCTGGATGGGTAAGTAACAGAAGTAGTTCGCCACATTTTTTGGGTAGGGGGAATTTCTAGGCATGGTGCTTTTGGAGAAAGTTGTAGTACAGTATATATCAAGTTGCTATTTTGAGCTTTCTAAGAATAGTGTTGTGTAGGAAGAATGTACAACGTGACGAGTTTGATGAATCATGAGCTTGTCATCATTATCCTTATTAAATGAAAAATTTGAAGCTAAACTTCTAAAAGTGACAAGTAAATTGAATTTTCCTTTTATTAAAATGTTCTTTAAATTACTCAATTTTCAATTTATAAAGACCCTCAAAACAGCAGAAAGATCAGAGTGTACTTTCCTAAAGGTGTGAGAGCACTCTGAATTTCATAGCTTTCACTAGTTTGGGATTATTTTGCCATTTTATGATTCTATACTGTGATCCTCTACATGAAGATCCAAAGAATCATTTTTTAAAAAAAAGCTTTTAAAGATGAATGCTAATAGAAAATGCATACAAAAAGTACCTCTAGAAATTGATGTCTGTAGCAAGTAATGGTATGTGGGTAACAGTGGCTTAAGCCTATAATCCTAGCTACTCAAGAAGGCTGAGATCTGGGAATCAAAGTTTGGAGCCAGCTGGGCAGGCAAATCCAAGAGCTCTTATCTCCAAATAACCAGCAAAGAGCTGGAAGTAGAGGCATGACTCAAGTGATAAGAGCACCAGCTATGAGTGAAAATGCTGAGCAAGAGTGAGAGGCCCTGGGTTCAAATCCCAGATTTGTACTGGGTATAACATTATGGAATACCATCTCTATGTAAGCATTGTCTTAAGCCCTGAAAACCTAGTTTTTTTTTTGTCAGTTGTGAGGCTTGAACTCTGGGCCTGGGCACTGTCCCTGAGCTCTTCAGCTCAAGGAGAGTGCTCCACCACTTGAGCCACATCCCCACTTCTGGTTTTCTGGTGATTAATTGGAGATAAGAGTCTCATGGACTTTCCTGCCCAGGCTGGCTTTAAACCTCGATCCTCAGATCTCAGCCTCCTGAGTAGTTAGGATTACAGGTATGAGCCATAGGCACCTGGAAAAACCTAGTATTTTTATGGAGATATTTTAATTTTAATTTTATTGTAAATGTATTGTACAGTTACATAAGTAAGGCAATGAGTACAGGTTTTGTTGAACATTGTTACCCCCTCTTGTTTTGCTCCCATTTTCCCTTACCCCCCAATTTCTCCTCCACAAAGGATGTTTATATATTGGAGATACTTTATACTGGAGGAAACAAGGCTTGTATAGCTTACATGTTACAAATATAATTTGCCTGCTTTGAAGAAGTTTTGGGCATTTAATATTTTATCGTAACTATCTCAACTGACCATGCCTATATTTTTAGATACACATTTTAATATACATATTTCACTGTATGCATTATGTACATTTCCTTTTACAAAGGAAAGCCAAAAAATATATTTAAGGACACTAGTTAAAGCTTAAACTCTTTACATTTGGAATAGAATACAGCTATCGGACAGGAGAAATAAACTACTTATGTAATTGGTTACTCTCTCCATTAATTTATAGTGACCTATAAATTAATGGAGACAGTAACCAATTAAGTATTAGGTGCTGTGTTTGGTGCTAGAAGACAAATAGTGAGCCCTTACATGCATTCTCATGAAGCTGATGAGTTGGTTGGGAGACAAACTAAAAAAATGCTGACTGAGATAGGAAGAAGTTGGGGTCCCAGGCAGAAAAGAGTCATAATGATACCAAAGGAGATGCCAAGTGACACTGGGCATCAGTTTCATTTTTGATGTCATCTGATAGGAGCTAGTTGTGGCTGAATGTCTTGGAGAGAAAGAGAGAGGCAAGCAAAGGTGGACCAGTGGTAAGCTCAATGCCAGGACATTGAGAAGCAACTAGAGAACCTGGGAAGACCCAAGAGTTCTAGAATTCTAGGACAGGGGGTGTTGTGTGAACAAAAGAGATTGCTGCCAAAGTGGAAATGGTTGGTTACCTGTTGTCAAGAGAAGATGAGAGAGCAGAGGTTACACGGAAGCGTTAGCCTTAACGAACTGTTTCCAGCCAGCAGAAGGAAAGAGGTTGGATACTTAGATGTTACATGCAAGTATAGAAAGTAAGTAAGTAGGAGTATGGATTTGGAGGTAGTAAGTATAGACAAAGGTATTGGCTTTTTTTTTTTTTTTTTTGCAGGTGGGGAAGGCTGGTACCTGGGCTTGAATTTAAGGCCTCCTCACACTCTTACTCAGCTTTTTCTGAGCATTCTTGCTCATGACTGACTTATCACTTGGGCCATGCTTCTAGCTTATTTTTGTGCTGGTTACTTAGAGGTAGAGTTGTATAGACTTTTCTTCTAAGGGTGGCTTCAAATTGCTTTGAATCTTGATCCTCAGTGTCTCAGTGTCCTAAGTAGTTAGCATTACCTGACAAGATTTTGTTTTCTTTTGTTCTTTCTGGGCAGCTCTGCATCAGGAGGGTGGCTGGAAGTGAGGAGATGAAAGGAATAGTACAGTGGTAGGCTGAGATTTTGGGGAGTATTTCTGAGTGAAGAGAATGATACAGAATAGAGGCAGGAATGAATTGTTATAGACCTTAAGAACATGGTTTGATAGATGAAGTGAGTATTCTCCCTAGGAATTGGTGGGTGGTAGGGATTATGGATACAAGAGTATTGGAATAGATCCAAATATGGAATAGGAGCAAGGACATAATTATATTTGGATTCCTATAGTACTAGAAATAAATATGTCAAATGAGTTCACACTTTATTAGGAAAGCCTGTTGTAATAAAGCAGTTTTCTTGTTCCCACTCTTAGAACTTCTTTGTTCTACCTTTCACCATCCTTTTCCCCTTTCTTTTTCCATCATTCCTTACCTTACCCCAATAACTGAACCTGTGAATGTCACATAATGAGACTTCAACAGAAAGTAACCCAATATAAGTATGAACATTGACCTAGCTTGGAGGGAACTATATAGACAATAATTAAAAATGCTTTAATCGTAGCCATTTTAACTATGAAGTAGAGGTTTTCTTCTTGTGCTAGAAAAATATAGGAAGGAGACTTCCTTTTATGATATTAGTATGGCAGATGGGAAGGTCAAAACCTGTCTAATGCCTGATTTCAATGGAGTTTTACTCATTATATAATTATTATAGCTATTGTGTATCTTTCTGAAATGTTATCTTTAAGTACAACTCTAATTTTTGTTGAATTATAATGATTAGAAAAACAATAATTAACACAAGATATAAAAATATATGTAGAGGTCATACAAACATTATTTCTTGTAGTTTTGCTGCCTCTAGAATTAAAAATCCTTTCTTATTGAATACGTCTAACTTATTGCCTGAATACAAAGGATTTTATCTGGGGGGAGGGAGTTAACTAAGGCAGTGATGCCTTTTTAGATTCTTAGGAAGTTTCAAAACTTTGAGCAGTGGTAGACTTACACAGTGACATGAATCAGAATCAGAGTGGTTGACTTGCACAGTGACATAAATCAAATCAAATATGTGTGGCACCACCTGTCTTTTCTCTGATTATCCACTTCATTCTCAGAAAGAATACTAAAAAGGAAAGAATAAGAAAATATCAAATTTTGGGACTTATTAAACATTGGATTACTTGGTTCTCTAAAGAAAAAGTGTTTTAATCATTGAAAACAGTAGAGAGCATGGACAAACCATTTGAAGTAACTGAACATTTTTTTTCTCTAATCCTTTATCTGTAGGCCCCTTCTTCTTCAACCCTCGCTACAATCTCTGTTCATTTACCTTTTAGAAAATCTTTAAGAACAAAGAACAAAGGTTCTTAAAGATAAATTCCTAGTAATGCTAGGAACTTTAAGATTCTTAGTTTTTCAGACTTCTATAGTTATGGAAATTGATGAGATCTGGAGAAGACATTACAACATTATTTAGGCCTATCATTGAAACCAAAACAAAACAAAACAAAATAAAGCTTTGTCTCCCTGAGCCTAGGAGGAAGTATGATATCCCAGTATGGGAGTATTAAACAGGAAGGTGCTCTCAAGGGCACAGGGTAGTTGAGAGCAAGTTGACTTTTCCATTTTACTTCACTTTACTTCACTTTGCTCTGTGTGTGTGTGTATGAGCACGTGTACACACATGGTGCATATGTGCTAATACTGTGGTTTGACCTCAGGACCTGGGTATTATCCCTTAGCTTTTTGTTCAAGGCAAGAGCTTTACCACTTAAACTATAGTTCTACTTCTGTTTTTTTTGGTGGTTAATTGGACATGAATCTCACTGAACATTCCTGCTTAGGTTAGCTTTGAACAAGGGATCCTCAGATCTCACTTTCTTGAGTAGCTGGGATTATAGGCATGAGCCATTGACATCTGGCTGCTGCTTTTTTTTTTTTTTTTGAGAGGGAAGATCCAGTGTCTTTCAATTAGAAGTCCTAATGTGGCCTTTCTCCCTTATTCATCTCACTTGAGAATAAAACACACCTTATGGTCTCTTTATTGGTATATGCTATAAGAATTGTAATGAACAGAAAATAACAGTCAAGAAAATAACTGATGATGATGGTACAGTTTTCTCTTTATACAGGAGGAGTTTGTGATCTCCTATTAAGAGGTGAACATCCAGTTTTCTGGGTAATTTGTGTATTAATACACGCATGGGTCACTTGTCTGATTGCTTTCTTCTCTTTCAGAATGCCTTCAGAAGTCTTGCTGAAGATACTTTCCTACTTGGATGCTGTGAGCTTGCTGTGTACGGGCTGTGTGAACAGGCGGTTCTATCATTTGTCCAATGACAAGTAAGAAAAAAACCAACAATGATAGCAATCATGAAAACCAGTAATATCCTTTAACCATATTTTAAAGTTTAAGAGAATTGCTTTCAATATTACTTTTTTTTTTTTTTTTTGTCGGTCGTGGGGCTTGAACTCTGGGCCTGGGCGTTGTCCGTCAGCTCTTCAGCTCAAGGCGAGCGCTCTACCACTTGAGCTACAGCGCCACTTCCGGTTTTCTGGTGGTTTATTGGAGATAGGAGTCTCACGGTCTTTCCTGCCCGGGCTGGCTTTGAACCGCGATCCTCAGATCTCAGCCTCCTGAGTAGCTAGGATTACAGGCGTGAGCCACCAGCGCCCGGCTTCAATATTACTTTTAGATATAAATGGAAATAATATGCCTAATGCTATAACTAGTCATATATTCTCAACAGTTGTGTTTATGTGCTTAAAGATGGCAGCATTCTTTCATAGATTGAGAAAGTTGACTTGTTACAACTATAAGATGCAGCTTTGAGGGGCTCTGGCTCCATTCAAGAGCTAGACAGACTCATCCGCAGGCTCTAGAAGTACTTCAAGGACCTGCCCTAGTGTATGGCTCTGAATTTGAGCACCAGATGATGTGCCCTTTGCTGGTGGCAGTCAAGCCTGATCCCAAGCCTTCACATCAAATAAGCTTACTCTTCAGGGAGAGTGAAAGAGATTAGGAGAGAGGCTCATAGTATGGAAGTCTTACCCTTAGAAGCAGAGAACCACTGGTTTGCAGGATATCTGTGAATAAAGAGGACAAGCCATGTTTTTGTTACTCTGAGCTTTGTTTGCACGTCACAATTCCATCTTGTATGTGTAGGAGATGGTAGTATTATTTACTTTTGGAACATTGTGGGCAAGAAACAGTACCTGATACATTGGTTCTCAAATGCTAATCCAGAAAAGATTGTTTCAGAGCAAGCTAGGAAATTAAAACAAATGACAACAACCACTTGGATTTCAAATCTGCATTTCTAGAGATTGTAGTTCAGTTCTTTGGAATCCACATTTTAAGATTTTCTTCAGATCATACTAATGAATAGTCAAGTTTTAAAATGGGGGGGGGAGGAGGACTAGGTGTGGGGGGCGGGGGGAAGATGGAAAGGGATGGGAAGGGGAAACAGGAGGAGGCTACAATGCTTGATAAGAAATGTACTTATTGGGGCTGGGAAGGTGGCTCAGTGGTAGAGCGCTTGCCTTGCATGCCTGAGGCGCTGGGTTCCATTCCTCAGCACCACATAAGCAAAAAGAAAAAAAGCTGGAAGTGGCGCTGTGGCTCAAGTGGTAGAGTGCTAGCCTTGAGCTGAAGAGCTGAGGGACAGCGCCCAGGCCCAGAGTTCAGGCTCCACGACTGGACCCCCCCCCCCCCAAAAAAAATGTGCTCATTATCTTGCCCATGTAATTGTAACCCCTCTGTACAGTATTTTCACAATTAAAAAAATGGCTAATACAGTGCATTCTAAAGTTGTCAGTTAAGTGAGGAACATAATCCTCAGGACTATTAAGGCTGTCCTCAAATGTTCTCATACTCTGAGGGGGACATTAGTACAAAAGATTGTTCTTATCTTTTACTTTGAAAAGATATTGAGTACATATTCATCAGTGAGTAAAAATAGTGTTCTCAGCAGTATTTCTAGAATGAATGTAGAATAATTTTTAAGTGTCCTTTTCTTGTTCTAAAAGAAGTGAAGGCATTCACTAATGCAAAATGCAGTGTTTTTTTTCAAGGAAAAATCAACCAAGTATCTGAATGTATAGTGTTCTAGAATTTTCTCACTTTAAGGATGGTGTTAAAAAGATCTTAGAGTACTCATTACCTTACTCATGTAACTATAAGCCCTCTGTACAGTATTTCTACAATAAAAAACATGAAATAGGTCTTAGACTTAATATTTTTATTTTATAAATAAAGAGATCTAATATAATATCCAGGTCCGTTGTATAAAATATTTCTGTTTAGGTCCAGTAGTATGTGTGAATACAGTTATCATAAACACAGCTGGTATAATCACTGTTGTTTATCATATTTGGTGTTGCTGCTCTACATCCCTGGAGGACTGAGTATGCATAAGTTATATTTGGTAGTGCTGATGTGAGAAGCTTGAGATCATGTAAAGGTCTCACCTAAAGTAAACAAATGCATAACGTAGAATCAGATGGCCTGCTTTTATACAAAGGGCGTTTAAAACATGATCTGTTCAAGAGATTTGGTAGAACAGTTTCAGATTTACCTATTAATCTGAGTTACTTATTAGTGTTCAATTAATTATCCTTTTGCATTTATTGGCTTACATATGAAAGGCTAGGAAGTTTTAAACTGAAAATATCAATACTTTAATACAACTGTTTGGTGTAAAATTATTTTGGGAGTAAGAAATGATTTGAGAAAACCATAGGAAAAGAGATGTCAATCGATCATGTGAGTTGATGTTGGGAAGACCATGTAATCATGTGTTGTCTTCTGGAGTCCTTGTTGAGGTGCTGTAGTTCTTCACCTATATCTGCAGTGTCCTTCCTGCCACACAGCATTATCCCTTTGTGTTAGTGAATCCGGTGTTTCCTCTGGCTGTTGACCATTTATCCCATACTTCTCTGCATAGATAATGTGGATATGAAATTAACAAATAAATTTTATTTAGGAAAATTTGCCTTTCAGAATAGTAAATAGATACCTTTACTCTGGTTTTCTTAAATGTTAATTTTCTTGCCCCAGAGAAAATTAGCTGAAAGAGGGTAGTCCTCAGGTTCAGCTTGAGTTTACTACTAACAACTGTTGATAAGATTTTCTTACAGCCTCTTAGTAGCAATAAGTGGAAGGGGCAGAGAATTTGGGTCCAAAGGGAATTTAAATCTCAACACTGTGGTTTATGGCTATATGAATTTGTATAGCTTACTCATGTTCATTGAGCCCATTTCTTTATGTTACTAAAGAGGCAGTGAAGTACTGGATAAAGTGAGAGCTCTGATTGAGGCTGCATGGCTGAAATTCCAGTTCCAGAACATACTTGAGTGCACCAGTCTAGGCAAGATTGACTTGCGTCCGTGTCTCAGTTACATCATCTTCACATTAGGGATCGTATGGATTTGTTAGAAGGATTAAATAAGTTAAGATAGAAGATATATCTTATATATACATCTTATTATAAGATATAAGATATATTTTAACTCATATATAAATGTGTTAGATATAAGATATTTATATGACTCATATATAACTCATTTATATATGAGTTAAGATATAAGTGCTTAAATAACAATACACAGTGTGTATTCGACTAACTGTTGATATTAGTTATTTTTAATAATTTATTTTTTGGAAAGCGATTAGTGTTTTTTGTTAAAAAATTTTAAACAGGAAGCAAAGGAGTAAAATTCAGTTATTCAGTGTTGCTATTTCCTTTGTGTATAAGTAAATAAATATAAACATAAGAATCATATTTTATTACTTCCTGTTATTTTTCTAGAATATATATCCTGCTTATTACTTTAAGAAGTCAGTGATACTGGTGGACCCATTGCAACAATGAGATGTACAAGTCCTTATGTTGAAAATGAACTTTACAACTTTGGTGCTGGGTGGGGTGGGGTGGGGGGCGGGAGGGAGAATGGGATGGGAAGGGGAAACAAAGGAGGAGGCTACAATGCTTGATAAGAAATGTACTCATTATCTTACCCATGTCATTGTAACCCCTCTGTACAGTATTTTCACAATAAAAAAAGAAGTCAGTGATTTGGACAGTGTACTTCCAAATGACATGAGATTGCTTAGTTTAATTTTTACAATATCTTTTTTTATTACCTTACATAGTTGGGCAGGGCTCATTGTGACATTTCCATGCATACATGGAAATGATCAGACTAACCCCCTCTATCACTCTCCCATACCTGTTTCCCTGTTTCTAAAAAAATTGCCAAAGATTTCACTGTTATATTTCATCTATGTAAACAAAGTACTTTGACCATATTCACCCTCATTCTTGTATTCTACTGGCTATCCTTACTCTTGCTAATACCACCTTCCAACAAAGCTTACGTTACTTTCCTGTCATTCATTTCCTCAGTGTGTATTAATTATACCAATAATGTGAAATACCATTGCACCATAGCATTCACACATGCATACATTATATTTTAATCAGAATAATCTTCCTTTTCTTTCCTCTTTCTCTTATCTCTCCATTCTCCTATTGCTCCACAATTCTTTTTTTAAATGATTTCTTGAGCCATCTTCATACATAGTTTCAATGAATTTCAATACTATTCACTTTCCATCATTCTTTTTCCTTCTCTCTCTTCTCCTTGTTCCCTTAAAGAGTCTCATAGTTTGAAATGTTCTATATGTGTATGTATATATGTATATATGCACTTGTCTGTGAATAGAGAGAATGCATGTGATATTTAGCTTTTTGAGTTTAGGTTATCTCACTCAACATGAAAATCCTCCAGTTCCATTCATTTTCCTGCAAATGACATGAGTTCACTGTTCCATGGTATATATGTACCATTATTTCTTTACCCATTCATCTCTTGATGGGAACTTTGGTTCCACAGATTAACTTTTGTGAACAGCACTGTGGTAAGAAGGATATGCAGATATCTTTCTTGTATATTGATTGTATATTCTCATAGTGTATGGTGAAGACATAAGCTAGGTCTGTTTTTAGATTTTTAGGTATCTGCAGACTAATTTCCACAGTGGTTATACTATTTTATTGTTCTACAAATAGTATGAGGGTCATGTCCTTGCTAGCATTTGCTGTTGTCTGTTTTCTTGACTTTGACAGTGTATCCTGGTGGGGGGGAGGAGTTTAAATTTTAGTATAGTTTTGATTTATATTTCCTTTATGACTAAATGATGAATGTTTTATATATCTGCTCAGAACTGTGTGTTTAATTTATTTGCACATTCATTGTGTCATTTGTTGTTTTGCTGTGTAATTTTTGGGCTCTTTGTACATTCTGGATATTAATCATTTATATTTAAATAGCTGGTAAAGATTTTCTCCCATCTTGTGGATTGTTTTTAGTTATGGTTGTTTCTTTCATTGGGTGGAAACTTTTTAATAATGTAGTCCCATTTGTCAGTTTTTTCTCTTATTGTGTAGGCAGATAGAGTCCTATTCAAGACTAATAATGAAAATTTCCAGAGTTTTCCCTATGTTTTCTTGTAGTGGATTTTCAGATTCTTTTTTTTTAAACCAATACTGGGACTTCAACCCAGAGCTTTGGGCTCTTTGCTCAGCTTTTCCTGTTCACATCTAACATTTTACCACTTTAACTGTTCCTTCAGTCCAGCTTTTTTGGTGGTGAATTGGAGATAGAATCTCACAAAGTTTTCTGCCAGTGCTGGCTTTGCTGGAATCTTCAACCACCTATGAGTAGATATGTATTACAGGTATGAGCCACTGGCACCTGGCTAAAGTTTCAGGTTATATTGAATTGTTTGAATTTTTGTATAGGATAAGAGGTAGGGGTCAAATTTTAGTCTCCTATGTACACTAGCAGTTTTGTCATTACCATTTTTTGGAGAGGCTGTCTGTTCACCAGTGTAGTTTTGGCTCCTTTGTCAAAGATCAGATGATGGTAGTTGTGTGATTTTATTTTGGGTCTTCTCTGCTCCCATTAGTCTGTGTTTGTTTTTGTTACTATCGTTCTGTTGTTTGATTTGAAGCCTGGCATTGTGATTGTTTGCTTTAAACTTGATGTGTGGAATTAGGCTTGTTTTGGAACACTTCATTTCCAGTTGCAAATTACTTTAATGTATGAATCAGCTATAAATATTCAGCATGATTTATTTATGGAATTAGGTTTTAAAAATTAAAACTTAATATATTACTGTTTCAAGTATATGTATATGGTGACATCACTTAGTTAATATATTTTCTCCTTTTCTCCCAGTTTTATATGGATCAGAATCTACTCAACTGCTTTTTCACCTAAAAGATCAAATTGGAAAATGAATTCAGTAGAGGAGACGGCTATGTCTGTAAGCTTTCTGTCAGTTGAGGAAAAAGAAGCTGGATATTGGAAGAAAGAATATATTGCAAAACAAATCAGAGCTGTGAAAGCAACACTGGCACAGATTCTCAAGCCTGTCAGCCCTTATACAGGTCTTCCAGTGAAAACCAAAGAGGCTCTCAGGTGTGTGTAGTGCTCTTGCATAGTGGCTTCAGTGGCCCCCAGACAGGACTGAGAATCCTTTTCAATTAATAGACACTAGAAAAGAAGAACTCTGTCAGCTCTGGGCTGTTATATCCATAGGGTGGATGTACAGTTTAGATTGTAGGGGACTGCCTCCTATATTTTTGTAAGGTTACAAAATAGTTTCCTATTTCATATTTATGGTAAACAGTTTTTATGACAAATATAACTTATTTGTTCTCCTTTAGTAAAGCAGGGCGCTTGAGGTATTCTTTCTGGGCAGAACCCTTGCCTTATGTGTATATTGCCCATTTTTTTTCCTCAGTCGTGGGGCCTGAACTCTAGGCTTGGGCACTGTCCCTCAGCTTTTCAGCTCAAGGCTAGTGCTCTACCACTTGAGTCACAGTACTACTTCCAGCTTTTTCTGCTTATGTGGTGCTGAGGAATCGAACCCAGGGCCTCATGCCTGCAAGGCAAGCGCTTTACCACTGAGCCACCTTCCCAGTCCCTATTGCCCATTCTTGAGACATCGTAAATGCTCAATGAGTGAGTATACTGAAGGTACTGTTGATGAAGTGAAAATTATGTTGAGTGTGTTCTGAGAACTTTTGATGTTAAGAAAATAAATGTTTTGGAGATAATACTTGAAATGATCTTTAGCTTTTTTTTTTTTTTTTTGGTAATGAGGTAAACATTATTAGCTTTCTTTTCTTTCTCCAGAATCTCAGGCTTAAGTTGGGCAATTATATTGAGAGAAAAAAGTGGGAAAGAGTATGTCTTGCAGCATGTGGATCTTTCCTTCAATGATACGTCTGTTACTGTTGTGTGGTATGGCAAAACCTGGCCACACTTAGCCACATTGTCAACCTTGGATCTGTGTGGTATGACACCAGTTTTTATGGATCGATATAAACCCCCTGTCAAAAATGGGTAAGTCATAATGTCGTAGAAATTTCTTGTACTGAAATATTAATTGGCTTTGGTTTTGTAATTCAGAAATGCTACCATGATTTTAAAGCTATATTGTTTCTGAAAGACTTTTCTACTATTCTGCATCACCATAGAATAGGAAAAAATGGGGTTTTCACACTTTATAGATATCACGCTGTCATATATTAAAAAACATGCAGAGCCAGGTGCTGGTGGCTCATGTCGGTAGTCCTAGCTACTCAGGAGGCTGAAATCTGGGGATCACAGTTCAAAGCCAGCCCGGGCAGGAAAAGTCCATGAGACTCTTATCTCCAATAAATCACTCAGAAAACCGGAAGTGGTGCTGTGGCTCAAGTGGTAGAGTGCTAGTCTTGAGCTGAACTGCTGAGGGACAGCGCTCAGGCACAGAGTTCAAGCCCCACGACTGACAAAAACAAAAACAAAAACAAAACAAAAAATGCAGAACTTAAATTTAGACATAACCTGTAACAGTACAAATGATACTGTATATAACAGAGTTAACAATAAGTATGTTTAACTTGGTGATTGATGGTTAACTTTTTGAAGTTCTTAGTTTTAACCATCTTAAAGACATAAACCTAGCACTTTTTTTTTTTTTTTAGGAAATGATATACTAATTATAGCTTAAATGTGAGAGCATAAATTTATTAGTAGTTATTTAATGTGCCTTCCTTCTAAACTTCCTAGATAGGTGACAACATGCACATAGTACTGTAAGGTCAGCTCAGTGTGCCTCACAGAGCACTGATGATTATCCCGTTGTCAGGTGGTTTTTACATTGGAGGTATACTCATGAAAGGCTAGGATCTGTCTTCCCAGTGAATCTTTCATGCTCATCATTGATGTTTTTTGCCTAAAAGCTGGGCTCTGGCATGGTGGAAGATTTACTTCTAGATAAAGCTACTGAATCCTTATAATACATTGCAAATGCAAAGCTAAAATCATTCCTCTCTTCAGCAGGTGTCCAGTCCACCCTCCCATCCGTTACCTGTCTTAATTCCCTTTGACCTTCCAGCAGCCTTTTCCCTATCACTTTTTTTTTTCTGTCCGTGCACACTACAGTTCCACGAGTCTCGTTCATGTCTGTTGCAGTGGACACTTTTTTTCCATTTCCCTGGAGGTAGGTAGGCCTGTGTTGGACCCCTCTGTGGCACTGTTTTTTCAAGAGTTTTTACTGATTATTGAGTTCTGTATGCTGCAAGTGTGAGGATATTTGGATCTCACACTGCTAGTAAGTCTCCAGCTTCCTTAATAGTAACATGAAAAAAAAAAGTAAAATGATGGATGGAGGAACACTAATCAAAATGCATTGTATATATGTTAACATATTGAATTGAAACCCCTTTGTACAACTCTTTAATAAGAAATTTATAAAAAAAAATCAATGAAAACTGAAATTGTTTTCTCTGTTTATGTTACTAAAGTATTCTGGAGAAACTATTATTTTTTTAAATGATTTTCTATTTGGATAAATATTTGAAAGTTTGATGGGCACCAGGTTTTCCTCAAATAGTGTTTAGGTTATATGTATGTGAAATTAGTTCAAAGAAAAAACCCACAAACTCTTTATTAGTTTGGCAACAATGTATTACTTGGTTATTAGGAAATATTAGTTTATACATATTAGAACAAAATTGTTAACATTGGTTAAATGAACATGAAAGGGTAAATGGGTGATACTAAGTTGAAAATCCACTTAAAAATAGTATGTTTCTGCTGGTGCCAGTGGCTCATGACTGTAAATCCTAGCTATTCAAGACACTGATATCTGAGGATTATATTTTGAAGCCAGACCAGGCAAGAAAGTCCCTGAGATTCTTTTTTTTGAGGGGGGGGGAGGGGAGCGCTGAACTCTGGGCTTGGGCGCTGTCCCTGAGCTCAAGGCAAGTACTCTACCATTTGAGCCACAGTGCCACTTCTTGCCTTTTCTGCCTATGTGGTGCTAAGGAATTGAACCCAGGACCTCCTGCATGCAAGGCAAGCACTCTACCATTGAGCCACCTTCCCAGCCCACCCTGAGATTCTTTAACTTCAGTCAGCCACCCAAATCTAGAAGTGGAGCTATGATGTGGTAGAATCCCAGTATTGAGTAAAAAAGCTAAGGAACAGCACATAGGCCTTGAGTTCAAGCCACTGTATGGCTCCCTCCCCGCTATCCCCCCTGCCCCCAAAATAGTATGTTTAAAAAGTTGGAATCATGAAGAACTACCTATGATTAAAAAATGCTGGAATTGATTGGGGGAATTTGTTGAATGTAATTTATTTTCATTAAAAGTCTATGAATGTCACCTAGCCTTTAATGAACTGTTCTCAACAAAACTGAAAGTTTAGGAATGTGTTTTGGTGGGCCTTTCATTTGCAAGAATAAAAATCTTTGTATCTGGTGACATCTAGGAAGATACTTATGGACTTTCATTTAGTGCTCCCCCTCCCCGTTTTTTATGAAGATTTTTGAGGAAAAGCAAAACCCCTATAATTTGTAAGTTGAATTTTCCTGTAACTCTCAGGTTTTCTTCCTTGTCAGTTTTACAGTATATGTTGTCCTGCTCCAAGTCTGCGAGTGCACTGGTGTAAATATGCGCCTCAGTGTGTCAGTGGTCTCTGAGACCAAGAAAGATGAGGACAAGAATGTCCTCAGAGGCTGTGTAAGTGCTTCCGCAGCCAGCCTTTTCTTTTCTGTTTTTCTTTTTAATTAATTAATTAATTACTTTTATTGTGAAAATACCATACAGAGGGGTTACAATTACTTGGGCAAGATAGTGAGTACATTTCTTATCAAGCATTGTTGCTTCCTCCTTTGTTTCCCCATACCATCCCTTCCCCTCTCAACCCCCTCACCCTCCCACCCCCTCCCACTCCCAGTCCCACCCCTCACTCCCCACCCTGCCAAAGTTGTAAAGTTCATTTTTCAACATAATGTCTTGTACATTTAAAAACCTGAAAAAGGAAATCAAAACAGAACTTAGAAAGTGGCAAAACCTCCCATGCTCCTGGATTGGAAGGATCAATATCGTGAAAATGGCAATACTTCCCAAGGCTATCTACAAATTCAATGCAATACCTATCAATATTCCTACCTCATTCTTCAAGGAAATAGAAGATGCAATCCAAAAATTCATATGGAACAATAAAAGACTCCGAATAGCAAAAATGATCCTTAACAGAAAGAACAGTGCTGGAGGAATATCAATACCAAATTTCAAACTCTACTGCAAAGCCATAGTAATCAAAACAGTTTGGTACTGGCACAAGAACAGACCTCAGGACCAATGGAATAGAATTGAAAACCCAGGAATGAACCCACAGACCTATAGCCATCTAATCTTTGATAAGGGAACTAAAAACATAGAATGGAAGAAACACAGCCAGCCTTAAGAGTATTTTCCAGCCTTGGTCTTCTTGAAGAGGAAGAGAAGAAGGCTTCTCAACATCCTTAGTCTCCCCTTTCCATCTTATTGATAATGCATTGACTATCACAGTGCCCTGTGACTCCTACTTCTTAAGGAATTTGTCCTCTTAGATTGAGATCTTATCTCCTTTATAAGTTCCCAAACTAAGTGTAGGTTACTGGAAATGTAAGACTTTTGACTCTATCATTGGTAGACCCATTGGTAGTCCTTGTAAAATGTTGCTGAGTTAGCTTTAAGTCTTATGTTGAGAAACAAAGTGAACACCTGTTTTGTGTACAATGCTGTTACAGTGTTTTCTTAAGTTTTCAGCTTCTCCTTTGATTAGGTTGGTAATGTCACAAGAACCCAGTTTGTGATGGTTGTGGAGGTCAGGCTTACACTAATCCACACGTAGGTCGCTAATTCTATATTCATCGTCCCCAGGTATATTCTGCATATGCCACCAGGCTGTGTTTATCAGCTATCTCTCCCATGCAGTTGTGGTTGTCAGCATAAAAGATCTTTTAAAGGGTTGAATTCAGTAGCATGGGGGGGACTGTAGTTTGGTTTCAGCTCTTAATGCTTTGAAACTTTCACATCTAATCTTCTTAAGTTTTTTTTTTTACTTAATTAACATTTGCATATTCATCTCTATTTGGCCCTATTAGGTGTTAAGTTCTGGAAACAGACTTTGGAATGACCTTTTTTGGTGTGTGTGCTAGTCCTGGGGCTTGAACTGGGTTCTGTCCTTGAGCTTTTTTGCTCAAGGGTAGTGTTCTGCGATTTAAGCCACCACTCCATTTCTGGATTTTTAGTAGTTAGTTGGAGATAAGAGTTTCATGGATTTTTTGCTTGGGCTGGTCAAACTGCAACCCTCAGATTTCAGCCTCCAGAGTAGCTAGGATTACAGGCTTCACCAGTGCCCTGTGACTCCTACTTCTTAAGGAATTTGTCCTCTTAGATTGAGATCTTACCTCCTTTATAAGTTCCCAAACTAGGTGTAGGTTACTGGAAATGTAAGACTTTTGACTCTATCATTGGTAGACCCATTGGTAGTCCTTGTAAAATGTTGCTGAGTTAGCTTTAAGTCTTATGTTGAGAAACAAAGTGAAGTTGTCAGGCAATGAGACTTTGAGTTCAGTGTCTCTCCTTCATAAAAACACTCATGATTTTGTTTCAGACTGATTTTCTGTTTTAGTTTTCACTGTCTGAGTTTTTCCTGATAACTTTGAAAGGCACATGTGCTTTCATATAGCTTGCTGTAAGGACTCGCTTTAATGTTACTTAAACTATTTTATCTTTACTTGCATGTTATTTTACTCATGTGATTAGGGATATATATTGATAGTTATTTTTTACTGTAGTTTTAGGAGGAAATAATAGAAAATGATTTTTATCACTTTTTCATCTTAATTGTAAAACTTCCTTCTGATGGGCACTTGAGTAACAGCAAGAGGGAAGTGAAGAATGACAATAGGATGAGAGTCATATATATCTGTTCTGCCTTTTATTTATACAAGATTTTTGTGCCTCCATTTATAATTAAGCTGTTTTGGGCATATTAGTATATATAAATTGCTCTTCAAAACATTTTTAGGTATAACAATGAGATTTGAAATTTTATATATATGTTTATCTATGTATATGCACACCTGCATACACACACATATAGCTCATTTCTCTTTCTCCTTTCTTTGGCATGGATGTTCAAAGACCTCGATGGCATTCTTTAATTGCAAAGTACAATCTGAGTCATTTACCTGAATCTGCCATGATTGGCTGTGACAGACTTGTTCGGATATTCTGCCTAAACCCTGGCCTCCTTGTGGGGTTGTGGAAGGTAAGGTGTGTCTCATGTCTACTGTGTTCATTTCTTCATCACAGCTTTGCGATTATACAGCATTCTGTCTGAGATTGAATGTGAACTTCCTGGTGACTTTTATGTAACTTCATCTTAACAACCTCATATTTCTGGCTCTGCGACCCTCTGTTCTACTGAGTTGGGCTTATTCCGCTATCACACGTGGGAAGCCACCTCCTCCTGCCTATTTTTGTTAACATTATTTTTTTAATGTCAGGGGATTATCTCCTGTTGCCTTCCAATCCATTTTTTTCCTGTTGCTTTCATGTTCTTTCTCTACCAGAGCCCTTCTTACTACACTTAACACTGGGTTCTCCAAGCATGTGTCTTTCCTGGTTGTGGCATAGGGCATAATCCGATTTTCAGTGTCAAGTGTCTGTAAAGTAGTTGTCCTTTCTCTCTATATAGGTTTCTTGTTTTTCCTGGTGAGGTTGATTGTCACCTCCTCCTCTGGGCCTATTTTTTGTCAGTGACTTAGTGAAAATTGTAATGGTATCTTATACCTCTGTTCATTTAGGTTTATAACTTTGGATTATGGCTGTTTTAAAAAGAGTCGCTCACAGATAGGAATATGAGAACAGTAGTATGCCTCTGTATACAATGTCTAGACAGAATCAGTCTGTAGTTCCATGCAGCATCATACTCTTTTATCTTGCCAATTGTGACAGTCATTATTCTTTCTCTTTATGTGTTATGGTGACTTGTGGGTGAAGCAGAAGTTTGCTTGTTCAACATATCTTGAATTGAATTCTTGGATCCATGTTGCTTGCAGAGTTACAAGGACTGTTGTCCTCTGCTTAGCTATTGGAGAATGGCCCCTTCAGGTTTACCACTCAGGGGTACCTCTACCAGTCAGCATTACTATGGATCTGGGACAAGTGGGTCAGTTTCTTTTTGCTCTTTAATCTGAGAGGCAAAAGGTAAAGCCATATCTAATGATTTCCACGGCATTTACCAAACCAAGCAGTTATATGGAAGGGAACATTATGACAATAATGTTCATTATTTGTGGAATAAAACTAGTATCTAAAAATATTTCACAGTATTATTTTTATATTTAAAAAGAGTTCAAAACAGCCTGGAATTGACAATTGCAACCATTTAATAGAACATTTTGATGTTTTATGAGTACTAGGATCATAATTCTTTCAGAAATGCATGTTCTGTATACTTGAGTAGATTATAGTTTTACTGTCAGTATGATATGTAAGTCTCATTATATAATACTGCATTAGTAGTAATAATGATTATACTGAGGTGAGTTTTATTTCTAAGAATCTGCATGTATCTGCAAGTTGAATGTTGTGATATTAACAATGACCTTGTGAAAAATTTAAAGCATTTCAGTTAAAAAATGTACTCTTTTCAATTAACTTTTCAGAACGAGGAAGAACTGGCTTTTGTCATGGCAAATCTTCATTTCCATCACCTTGTGGAGAGGAGCACATTAGGGTCAGCCACTCTGTATGTATCTGTATGTGGGTGAATCAAGTTTTCATATGGTCAGATATAAAGCATTAGAAGTTGATGCCATCTTAACATACAGAGAATAGCTATGAAGATATTGTGCTTTTAGTCAGTAGACACAAGCCAACAAGCATAGTTACTTGTTGCTGAATAATGGCATTATTCATGATTATATATTTACTTTATTTATTCTAGGTTAAGGAATTGATACCTAGGAGAATATTTATAAGACAGAAGATTTCATTAGTATAAGATGCCACCACTGTTCTTCAAGTTCTTGCACTCAGTTACTATTTGTGTTTTGTGACACATGTAGACCCATATCCTCAAACTGAATCTGGTCTGCAGATGTGTTTTGTTTGGGTGTGTTTTAATGCATTTGTATACAATCAGATGGGGAGCATGCTTTCCATTCCCTGGCAGCTCTTACCCTTCATGTGGACTTAGGTGCTTTCTTATTCACATTTTTTATGTTATCTTAAAAGCTCCTGGATGCTTTCAAGTGTGTTAATCCTTATATGGTAAGGTTTTTCTTGTTGAAAGGTGTGTTTCATCTTAGCTTGAGATTTTTGCTTGGGTCTCTAACATGTAGATCTGTTATTTTATGCATTCACCTGCTAAGTACCTCAATCCCTGGCTGCGGAGACCACTGAGGACAGAGTGGCATTTGTAGAATTGCTGTCCTGGGGTTGGTCTCAGAAAACATGTTTACTGTGGTAGTCCTATGTCTTCCCATGGAATTCATATCCCTGCCAGTTTATATAGACGTTTGTAAGAAGAACACGGAGCAGTTCTTTTAGGTTCATGGTATGGAAGATTATTGGGATTCCCATAGCGTCTCATTGGTGGGAGGTAGTGCTTTGAATGAATGTTAATTTTTTAGAAGTATTTTAAGCCCAAGTATTTCTTCTCTGATACTGACAAATTTGTGAATATGTGTTTTTCAGCCCCTATGAACTTCCTCCTCACAGTCCCTTTTTGGATGACAGCCCAGAGTATGGACTGAGTGGCTACCAGCTCCATGTTGACATGCACGGTGGTGGAGTTTTCTACCTGTGTGGTACATTTCGCAATCTCTTCTCCAAAAAAGGTGAAGGTAATTAACTCTTGTGTCATTTTGAAATTAAAAGGTTATAGAGACCAGGGAAGCCATTTTTGTTTATGAGTTAAGAACTGTCCTCCTATCTGGCTACAGTATAATCTGTCAGCATAGCTGTGTTCCCTGATCCTTATTTTACTCTAGGACACATGAGTTTTCTCAGCCAGAGCAGATCTCTTTAGCTTCTGCCTCTGTGTCCTTCATCACCCTCACTTTCTTACCTTCTGGATTTGGCCTTCATTCATCTTTTTTTTCTGATATTTCCTTGTTATTCCCCTCCCTTATCTTCCCTTCTTTCTCAGAAATTTAGTTTATATCCACAGAGCAGTACAGTTCCTATCCAGAATGAAAACAAAGGGAAACTACTCTTTCTTCTGGATTTACTGCATCAGTGTTTTCTATATCTGCTAAAAGTGAGAGACTGGGGTAGCCAAAGGAAAGGAGAGAGTTTGAGCTCATCCAGAGAAAAGAGTGTAGAATGAACACTATTCTGTCTGTTCTGTTGATCTATCAATTCCTTTTGATATCATTTTGCTGTATCCTGTAAACTTGGAGTTTGTCCCAAAGATTTGTGTAAAAAAATTGAACATTTTTGGTAAGCATATTTTATAGGAGAAATACACACTGTATTATACTTATTAAGAGTCATATAATGTCAAGTTGTCTTACTAGTAGCAATACTGAATTTTATCATTTTGTTTGGAAGATGGCTACCATTTCTCTTCATTATAAAGGTAGTACTTTTCCAAACACATTATTCTCTAAAGTTTTCTACCTAGAGGAGCTGACATCCATCTTTTGCCTAATTCTTCTGCATTAGGAAATCTTGATTTACTTATTGCTGTGTTTACTAGTTGAGCTTTTGGGTCCGGTCGTGGGGCCTGAACTCTGGGCGTGGGTGCGGTCCCTCAGCTCTTCAGCTCAAGGCTAGCACTCTACCACTTGAGCCACAGCGCCACTTCCGGCTTTTTTTAAAATTTTTTTTCTGCTTATGTGGTGCTGAGGAATCGAACCCAGGGCCTCATGCATGCAAGGCAAGCACGCTACCACTGAGCCACCGTCCCAGCCCACTAGTTGAGCTTTATAAAACATATTCTTTTATCACTGGATGAACTATAGGAGTAGGATTAGAGCTGGGTGCCTGTGGTTCACACCTGTAATTCCAGTTACTCAGGAGGCTTGGATCTGAGGATTGTGATTTGAAGCCTGCAGTCTGTGAGATTCTCATCTCCAATTAACCACCAAAAAGTTAGAAATGGGGCTGTGGCACAAGTGGTAGAGCTGTAGCCTTGTGCATGAAATCTCAGGGACAGCACCCAGGCCCACAGTTAAAGTCCCAGGACTGGCACACACTCACAGAAAAAGTAAGATTAGTGCTTATTTCCCCTTTAACTACTGATTTTCAGATAAAGAAAATGATTGCCACTTATTATGATAGAAATGATTTTGAGCTCTTCTCCTCTTTCCACTCCCTCTCTTTTAAACTTTTGACTCTAGGATTTTCATTTATTTGAAAATAATGTTATAGGTATTGTTCTTTCTGAAGCTAAAACTGTCACACAGTTGACCATTGGGATGAACTTCAAGCTTGCTCTGTTCCCTTCGGATTTCCCTTCATTAGTCTGCTGGCATTTTTCACTATTTTTTTTTTTTCTGTGTGTGTGTGTGTGTGCCCATCTCCTATCTTGAACTCGGGGCTTGGGTGCTGTCTCTGAGCTTTTTATCTCTTTCTCCCTGATAAGTGTGGCTAGAAGCTTGTCATTTTTACTCATTTCAGAGAATCAGCTTTTGGCTTCTTTAGTATTTCTTAGCTGTCTTATTTTGTGTATAATTTTAAACATGGATTTTTATTCTCTATTTTTTCATTTGTAATTCTGTAAATAGGGAGTTAAAGCTATTAACTCAAAAACCTTGTTTTTATAATACAGAGACACTTAGTGCTATAAATTTCCACCTAAGTATTGCTTTAGTGGTATTACACAGTTTCTCCTTTGTTTTATTACCTTTTCTACTCATGTATCAGTGAAATTTCTGTCTCTATAACAAGTACCTGATATAATCAGCTCTAAGGAGTAAAGCTTTATTTTGGCTTTTGGCTTTAGAGGTTCTAGTCATGGTTGGTTGGCACTATTGCTTTCGAGCATTTGATGAGATAACATATTATGGGGAAACATGTACTGAAGGAAAAATGCTTAACTTGTGGTTGGGAAGTGAAAGAAAGAGGAAGAGGAAGGAACCTGGTCCCATATCTTCTTTGAGATAATGGATTATCTTAATTATTTTTTCTATTTCTGGGCTTGAACTCAGGGCCTCAGATTTTTTACTCAGGCTACTCAGATCTCAGCCTTTCTCATTGCTAAGATAACACATGAGCTACTGGTACCTGGCTACTTAAGGTTTTTATTATATATTCTTATAAGTTAAGGAAGTTTGTTTATTTAATTTTTGTGTAAGTACTAGGGTTTAAACTCTGCCTGAGCACTGGCTTTTAGTTCTTTTCTTTTCCCTCAAGGCTGGTGGCTCTTCCTCTTGAGCCATAGCTCCACTTCTGGCTTAAGAATGTCATGGACTTTCCTTCCCAGGTTGGCTTTGAACCACCATCCTCAGATCTCAGCCTCGTGAGTAGCTAGGATTATAAGCAATACTGGTACTTATGGTAATAATAATGATAATGCCGTGGGTTTCTGAGTGTCCCCTGATACTACAGTGTGCTGTGTGTGTGTGTGTGTGTGTGTGTAAGAGAGAGAGAGAGAGAGAGAGAGAGAGAGAGAGATTTTCTTAGGCAGAATCCACAACTTTCATCAGATTATCAGAGATGTCTGTGGCCAAGAAATCATGGCCTACACTACAGGGAGACTAGGGAACTCTGAAGGAATGCCATTCATAAGGATCAGGTACCTTGTGTTTGCACCCACACTTGTTGACCCTCACAACCAGTGGCTATCCTACTTCTGGTACCTCATCTCTTCTAGCATATCAGCACCGACTTGACACGTTCAGACTGAGGCCAGGCCTTGATGTCTGCTGTTTCACATGTCCGCAGAGGTTACTGTGGTTCTGTTTCTTTGTCCTTATTTTCTTTTTTTTTTTCTGACAATCCAGAAGAAGGATTGAAGTCCCCCTTCTTATGTGCTTTACTTGTACCTTTTTCTTTAGAAAGAAGCAGCCCCACAAATTCACCTGTAGGCAGAGTGATTGATTCTTTGTATCGACAGTAGGATGCTAAACAATACAAAGTAAGATTCTTCAAAATCTGAATACAGCCACTCTTTCAACTTGTTACTCTTTTTTTAAATTTTTATTTATTTTTTATTGTGAAAATACTGTACAGAGCACAGAGGGGTTACAATTACATGGGCAAGATAATGAGTACATTTCTTTTTTTTAATATTAATATATATTTTATTGTAAAGATACTGTACAGAGGGGTTACAGTTTCATGAGTGAGGTAATGAGTACATTTTCTATTGAGCATTGTTACCTCCTCCTTTGTCTTTCCCCTACCATCCCTTCCCTCCCCAACTCCTCCCTCCCCACCCCCAAAGTTGTATAGTTCATTTTCAACATAGTGTCTTGTACAGCTCATTGTTACAGTGGGTCAACCTGTATTTTTTTTTAATTGTGAAAATACTGTACAGAGGGGTTACAATTACATGGGCAAGATAGTAAGTACATTAACATAGATACACATCTGTTCTGATCTAACCTGGTTATATCAGAATAGTTTCTATAGTTTACCAGCTAATCTGTTAATGTTTTTTTTTTGTCAGTCATGGGGCTTGACCTCTGGGCCTGGGTGCTGTTCCTCAGCTCTTCAGCTCAAGGCTAGCGCTCTACCACTTGAGCCACAGTGCCACTTCTGGTTTTCTAGTGGTTTATTAGAGATAAGAGTCTCACAGACATTCTTGCCTGGGCTGGCTTTGAACCGTGAACCTCAGATCTCAGTCCCCTGAGTAGCTAGGATTACAGTTGTGAGCCACTGGCACCTGGCTCTGTTAATGTTTTTTTTTTTTTTTTTTTTTTTTTTTTTATAATTTACCAGCTTATCTGTAAAAATTATTTCTAAGACATTCTCATTTTATATTTTTAAGTTTTAAAATGTGAGATAGTTTCATGGTACATAAATACAGAGATTTCCTATATTGTCTCTATGTAGGATTTACCAATTATAAAATTTTTCAAAACTTAGATAACTTTTTCAAAATGTACCAAAAATGTGCTACCATTCTATTTCCATATATATATATGGAAATAGAATATCTATGGAAATATGTATATATGGAAATACATATATATATCATTCTATTTCCCTTCTATGTAGCTGTCTGTCTGTCTACTATGCAACTATTTACATGCTTATAAGTACTCACTATTATAGGCTTTCATTAAAGTTTCATATTTACTTTAATTATTTAATTTAGTCTTTATTGGGAGCAAGTCTTTGACGAGGTGTCTACAGCTCAGCGTACTCACTTCTTTTTTTATTTTTATTTTTTGTGAACATACTGTACAGAGGGGTTACAATTACATGGGCAAGATAATGAGTACATTTCTTATCAAGCATTGCAGCCTCCTCTTTTGTTTACCCTTCACATCCCTTCCCAGCCTCCCCCTGCCCCCCCCAACCCACCCCCCCCCCCACACCAAAGTTGTGAAGTTCGTTTTCAACATGACAACTTGTACTTCTCATTGTTGCAACAGGTCCACCTGTATCCTTAAATGACTTGTTTTTCCCCATCTCCTCCAAAAATTATACCGACATCAAATATAGTGAAAGCAGGGGTTATACTGTGGGGGAGGGACATACAAAGCAACAAAGAAATAATCTTATAAATGCATTAGGAACAAATGCATGAAAGAAAAAAACATTTAAATACATATCTAAGGGTTCATTTTCCTAACATCACATTATCTGACCTTTTCTGCTTGACTCATACATATACTAGATATTGCAAATAAGGGAAACATGGGACCTATGTTTCTTTGGGCTTGGCTTA